TCTTTTCCCAGCTGGAATCTCTGAAATGCTCTGCATTATTTGTTACTGTTCAGGTAAGCATAACTTTTATGTATTGGACCTTTTTAAAATTCTGATTATGATTAATCGTCAACATAATTGACAGTGGCAGCCCTAAAATGCTTACATAAAATACAAACTATGACAAATCCAGCATGGATTTTGGGACTGCTCTTGTAAATAACATTGTAATGAAATGATCAACATGCAGTACCAGCACAGAAATATCACTGTTAGAAATGAGATATCCTGGCTTTTCAAAAAAGAGACAAACCCCTCATGACCTCGGGCTGATCTCTAGTTCTGGTTACACTGCGCTTGACCAGAATTGGATAGAACAGGAGACGTTACCTTGTAGAAAAGGAGCTTGAATGGGAGGAAACAGAGAAAGGTGCACAGATGCCAGAGGTGCTGGAGGTGTTACTGTAAAGGCAACCCGAGACGAGGAACCGTTCGCTGTCAAAGACGCTTTGACTATGCCTGAGTGAACACACCACTTGCTCTTTGCACACAGTTTAAACCCAAACACACATGCACAAAGCATAGTGTCCTGCTTAATTATTAACTCTGCGCAGAGACAAGTTTGAAAAATGCTGCCTGGGTGTTGTAAGATGGCATCATATCCGTTTGTGTCATGGTTTATTAGCGTATGCCATACACATGGAACACTCTTGGGATTGTAGTGATGTGATTTCACCAAAAGGAATGAAGATGAGTCAACGTTATTTTTATAAAATAACACAACTCATGTCTAGCTCACCATAATGTACTGTACATATTAACCCCTTAAAATCTCAGGTTTATCACATACTAAGGTTTATTATTCAGTAACTACAGGGACTTTAATGCAAACCGCTTGAAGTATTCTCAGATTATAGAAGTGTGTAATAAAACTTTGAGGGGGTTAAAGGCCTCGAGCATTTTTAAACCTAACCTCTATCTGCTGTATGTGTTGCATACATTTGATTATGGACAATGGTTACAATGTTGCTGAAGCATCTGCCCATTGGCTTCTATTTTAAAGGTGTTATAGGGATCACCATGTTTTCTGTTATTTTCTATGTATGGGAATTATAATAAAAAAATTATAATACTGGCAGGGGTTAATATTCCCTGTTGCCTTGTGCCCTTGACCACAACATTTTATATTTCGTCCAGTAAAAATGCAAAGACTTTTTGCGCCCGCCCATTTTAAAAATTCTCAAATTCACACATTCACAAATATCAACTATTAATAACAAAAATTTCTTTTAACCTTGCGAGACCCAGAGCCTGCTTGGTCAGGCACCAAATGAACTGCATCAAAACTGATTTAGACGGAATTTGTTGACTGTAACCACCACTGTATCTAATATGATGTCAAAGTTATCATTCATGTAAAGATTTTAATAGATATTTATTTTTTTCAAAGCAATACCTGATGTATTTTTGGGATTAAAGCATATTTGTTAATTGTAAATACATCGTATATATAATAGGGGCTGGTTGCTTTTACTAGTTGACTAGTCATGCAAAAGAGTAACTGACTAATTCTCATTACCGAACTAAAAAATGTGAGTTTTCTGGACATCTGCTAAAAGTATTTTGTTAGTAGCTTGCTAATAGCGGCTGGGGTGGCAGAATCTACAGTTTGAAGTGTTAGATGTGCACTGTAGAAGCCACAAGCATTCAGGGTTACACAGACAGTCTGATGTGAACTGCACGCTAAAATCACCACAGTCACAAGCTCTCCTCTCACACAGAATTTAAGCTGGTTCTAGTTATCCATACTGCCATGCACCAGTTTTATCAGTCCCAAAGAATTTTTTTTTGATGATTTTATGTCAAGCTCTAATGTTGGTAGCATGCAGCTGCATCAACTTGCCTTCAAAGCAAGATTTAGACCTCGTCAATGAATCAAGAAACATTCATGGTACCCCGTTTTAAGAAGTTGTTCCTGAATTTGGTTTAAAGATATAGGTAGCGAGTTAAGGGAATATCCTTGTGTATTTGCTGACGATACTCTATTTTATTTAACATGAGTTTGTGTTTGTTGCAGACACATTACACTAAATGTTCTATGACTGGTCATTCTGCATGTCAGTCAAATGACTTCTTCCTATCAGAGACAACAGTTCTCAAAACCCACCTTGTCTAACTTACGAGCCTGTATTTCAGCACAGTCATATACAGCTTAGAGTGGAATTGTTTTATTTTGTGTAATATTTCCACACTAATAAACGTTTTAGCAGATTTATGTTTTCTCCTCTTGCTTGTTGATAGCAGTTAACACCATAGCTGCATTTCAGGGACTTTCCTCAACCAGTTGCCTGGTGCCCACAGCGAAGACTAGTGGATTTATCAGTCGTGCCACCACTAATATATGATTAATATGTTTCTATAATTCTGGCCACAAATTCTGAATTTTAGCCACAAGGTTCATTGGCCTAGTGGCCTGAATGACCATTATCTGTCTACCCCTGATTATTCGTGGTCAGTTGTATGGTACAGAAACAGCAAAAACAGACTGGGATTTAAAGTGTGAGCTTATTCCCTTAACAGAGAAAAAAAACGGCCTGGTACCAAACATGAAATTGTTTTTAGGTGGTTGTAAAATGTATAATCCCTTTAAGGTTCTGCATTTGCAGGAACCATTCGATGCTCCTTCAGTGTTAAAGAGCTTTAAACGGCTTGCTTTTATGATGGCAAGGCCCTTCTCCACCTCTCCGACCCTTCAAAGGCCAGGTCAAAGGTCATCAATGTTGAGGTTTTGCCTTGAGCATAGCTTAACCGCTCTGCTATAGGTTGAGTAAAACAGCTAGACCTAAGTAAAAAAAAAACAGTTTCATCAAGTCACTGTGAGCCTGTGCAGACCTGCTAAAAGCTCCACCCTGTCCCAGAGAGACCCACGCAGCCAGGGGCCAAAGCCTAAAACAGCACCTAGTGCTATAAACAGTTTCACATTCTTCACACGCTGAGGCAACTCATGGAACACACCTGGAGTCTCATGTAACACGTTTTCCAATAATATCTGCCAATGGATACTCCATCGCTACTCTTTTACGGAAGATGAAATACCTGATTTACGACCTACATATTTTAACTGATTCGTTTGTAGGATTCAGTTTTATCTTATTTGGTTGCTTCAGCACCCGGACTGTTTTGAATGTTAGCATTTTATTTTAGACAGAAAGGATCCCAAACAGAGAAAAACACATCTTACAAACTTCAGTTCCTTTGTTGACAGATGCTGGATGTAGTTAGAAGTTCCACAGCATGGATCCAGTAGTCTGTAGTACTTATTAGGTACTTAATCCTATTCAAGTTGGTTTTGCTAGACTACTTTTACTTTTACTTGAATATAAGTCCAAGCTATGCTATCCATCTCTGGAATAGCTATGTACATTCCATGCATTAACAACACACTGCTCTTTCCCAATCTCAAGGTGCACTGCATTTCTGAGTGTTTTCCCTGCTTCAAAACACCTGAAGCAATTCATTGGCTCTTCTTGAAAATGGGCGTGGTAAGAACAGGGAAAACATTCAAATTTGCACACCAGGATCAGGACTAGGAAACAAACAGCAGAATGACAGCTACGTCTCCAGCGTACACCAGCAAAACCTGTTTTGCTCAAAATAAATGGACATTTTGGCAAAACAACAAAAAAAGCTAAGCAGGGGTGGGCATTGCCAATTGCCTCTTCCCCTTGGCCACGTTTCACATTTTGGCCAATAAAAATGTCTAAAAGGTCTTAAAAAAATAAGGTGTTAAATAGGCTAGCATTACATGGAGAGGCTATCACTACAGTAGCTAAACAGTACATGACCCACATCGGACAACGTAGGGGCTGACCAGATTGGTATATAGGACCATCACGGTCACCACAATGGCTCTTATTAATGTAAAGTTTTTTTTTTTTTTTTACCCAATTATCTCCCCAATTTAGTCATTTCCAATTCCACCCGCTAGTTAGGACTCCCCCAATCACACGATGCTATCAACACTAGGAGGGTGAAGGCTAACATAGGCTTCCTCCGAGACCTGTGAAACCAACCACCGCTTCTTTTCGAGGCCAATTGTGCTCTCTCGGACTCCCGGCTACGGATGGCTGTAGCATCACCAGGGATCGAACTCGCGATCTCCTGATGATAGGGCCAACGCTTAGACGGTTGCGCCACTCGGGAGCCCTAATGTAAAGTTTTTAATAAATATTTCCTTTTTCAAAACAATGCAATGCAATTTTTAATGAAAAATATTACGATTTTATGCATGTAGCTTTTCAAAGCTGTGATTGCTTGTTTGCTAGTTATGCTCAAAATTCGCTAAAAATTGTCACTACCGAAAGCATCACCACTGAAACATCTGGTCAAATTTTGGAAGTGTTGTGTTTTGGTAAAGACAAAACGGAATGTTCATTACAATAAGGTATAAAGTTGCTCAACACAAAAGGATTTTAGTCTAGCGTCAAAGTCAGCTACAAGTCATTTATCAGTTTGATAGAATCACCCATATAACGTTCCAACTATTCTGGCCAATTCAGACTGAATGGCCAGTGCAAAATGTTTATATCTGTCTACTCCTGCAGCTAAGAATAGTGCATTCAGCATAGTGTGTACTATGAAACAGCACTAAGCCCCAGAAGTAGTAGAGCACAGACAACCACACTGCACATCTGAGTACATCCCAAAGCCAGTCCCCAGAGATCAGGAGGTGAATAGAATGTGACAGTGCATCCACTCCTCTGGCACACGCCAGCCCAAATACACACACACAGCCCACATTCACCCTCGTGTGTATGTGTATGACACCACAAGCTTAAATATAGACTACTGTGGTTTTGTCAGGATGCCAAGCATGTTGTTTAATAGCCATTATTTTACACGCTGAACTAATACTATCCTTACTTCACAACTCGCTACTACTCTCATACATAACCCCCTCTTAACATCACAGCATCCTGTCACTGACTCTTCACCCCACCAAGTACCCAGCGCTCACTCACCTTAAAGGCAAACTTGCGGTTGATGTTGTCCGAAGCCTGGACTGGTCCGATCTTGAAGCTGAGGAGAGGAAGGCTGCCCAAGACTACTTCTTCCTTGTCATCTGAATAGAGTAAAAATGGAAGAAAAATAAAAAGGAAACATCAGGAGCATTCTGAAAACATATAGAAAAATAAGAACAGGAATTTGCAAAGGACTTTACATCGTACAGGACCATGAAAATATTCCATAAAATGCACAAAATTGTCAACTGGCATTCCAACCTACAGTAATGTGACAATACTCCTCAACAGGCATACAAGATTAGAATCTGAATCAGCCATGGACATTCCAGCATAAACAAATGTGAAAATTTTTCCACAAAATGCACGAAAAAGTGACAATTTCAATGATTATCTGCAATTCCAACCTACAGGAACATGTATATACTGCTCAAAATGCATAAAAAATAAGACTTCGAATCAGCAATGGAGAATTCCAACCTACAAGATAAGAGGTTTTGCTGTTATAAACAAAAACACAGCTGATCCACAGTCACTGTCCGGTGAGAGCAGGTGCTCCTCTTAGCTGCAGCGGTGTAGTGAACAGATAATGGCAAAGCAAAGTCCAAAGAAACTGTAGGTGAATCCCATAATAAATATCCATTTTAGTCCGACAGTCCAGGACTAAGCGGCGCTAACAACAGCACGAGAGTGACAGAGAGAGAGCAAAAAGAGGAGCGAACGAGTGAGGCACTTCGGCTGATTAAATAATGTAGCAGGTTGTTAATTTTTAAACGTGGGAGCGGGCAGGGCGGGTGGCCAAGAGGGTTTGCTCTTCTCCCTACTTCTCTCTCTCTCGCTCCCCAGGGCCGTGTGCTGCTGCTGCTGCCGTGGAAATGGGTGCTCTACTGAGAGAAGAGCGTGTGTGTCAGTGAGAATGAGCGAGAGAGCAAGTGAGAGAGAGGGGGGTGGGGGTTGTTGTGCAGTATATGAGTAAGAAAAGCAGTACAGAGAGAGAGAGAGACACATAAAGAGAAGGGAGAGAGAGAGAGAGAGAGAGAGAGAGGGGGGAGAAAGAGAGAGAGAGATAGCTATCAGTCGTGTGACTCAGTGTTGCAGGAATTCTGGATTGCAGCCAACTGTACTTTACCTGCTCCAGCTATCAGTACAAAGCCAGTACCCAATCACACACATACTCACACACACACACACACACACACACACACACAAATGCAGGTGAGTGTAAACAGAAACGCCCAGCGCTCACACAAACACACTCACAGAGACACAGACAGTGTCAGTTTTTATAGTGGCAGTACACGGGACCATACAGAGTGGGGTCCAAAAGTCTGAGACCACTAGTGAAAATGCTTCGTTCTGCCTTCTTTTCTAATTTAACATACAGCATTTTATTACAGATTGTATGATCAGTATAACACTTGAGTGAAAAGCACAACTGAAATTTTAACATGCATTTCAGAACAAAATCGAGCAGGCAGATTCCCCAAGTTTGTGCAAAAGCCTCTGATGAGTAGACCAAAGTAGATTACAAGCTTCAAAGGAAGTGATAAGAGTACTGTACAAAGGCTTTAACATGCTCACCAGAACAATTTTGTTTAATTTGAATAGTGATCTAGAGTACACAATCTTGAAATATTTCTCCTTTATTTTACTTTTTTTGTGTTTACAATTTTTCAAAATTCTAAAACTTGCTGTTGTTTATTTCCAGGTTTAATTAAAAAAATTTTCAATGTGGTCTCAAACTTCTGGACCCCACTCTATATACTGTGCAAAAGTTTTAAGCAGCCAAGAAAACTATTTCAAACCCTTAATCTCAGTAGTGAGTGTGTGTTTGCCTGTAAAACACTACATAACATTAGAATGAATGCAAATAATTATATAAATGCAGTAAACAAGGTCTTGTAGAAGTGTGCTTATAAAATAGAATACATTCAGGTTTGGGAGTTGGGGAGAGGGGGCACTTCATAGTTACATACATTATAGTATTGTTACAAGCCATTTATAAGATTATTTAGTCTATTTCTAGACATATGTGTCACTGTCAGGACAAAACCTTGTATCTCCATTTTTTTAAAAATATTTTTGATATTTAACATTATCTTTAGAAGAATACAGTTAGAAAAACACAGGTTTCACAGCACTCCTACTATTATATGGATTTATTAAATTCCATCAGTAGCACATCTGATTTAATTTAATGAAGGGCCGATTAGCTGAACTTTAAATAATGAACTTCATAAAAGAGAGGCTTGGAAATTGTTAACACAATTTCACAACTTACTGTATTCTAATGTTAGTGTTTTTATAAGAAACACCAAGATAAATGGCTTTACATATTATTTGCCCATAAGCCTATGACTTTGACACAATACTGTATGTTCTAGATGTTGGAACTGTGATGATTTGATTGCATTCAGCCACAGAGCATTAGAAAGGTCATGTACTGATCTTGGATGATTAGTTATGGATGATAAAAGCCAAAGATACTCATCCCAAAGGTATTGGATGGAGCTCTAATACACCACAACCCACTGCTGGGGGACTTTATACCCCTCTAGTTGATGCTTGGCACTGGACATGGTGACTTAAGCTCATATGAAGCTACTTCAGAGCACACCGTCATGTTTCCAATGCTTTTCTATGGCGTTTATGCAAGCTGTCTCTGTGTAATTGAATGCCTGTGTCAGCAATGGGGGCACCTTAAAGTAGCTAAATTCACTATAAGTATCTACACTGCTTGTCCATTTTATCAGCTCCACTCACCATATAAGTGCAGTAGTATCTAAGTATCTTTTGTAAAAAGGACTTGACAAAGTCAGGATATTGCTGTTCTGAAAATGTACAAAAACAAAAAACAACACACACATAAAGGCAGGCAGAAAAACAGTGCACTAAAGCACAAACAAATCAATAGTCAAAAGCATTCTATAATTTATGATGCTGCACCCGCCATTAAATTCTAACTGAAAAGACAAACACACAAAACCTCAGACGCGACATAAATACAAACAGCAGTCCGAAGAAAAGGAGACAATGATTATTAGTTCAGGTACAGAAAATCGTCCGGTTGTGTCAGTTGAAAGATAACAGCAACCTGTAAAAAAAATGTTTATTGTGCTTAAGCAGTTCACGCCCATGGAGACCGCAGGGCTGCTTCACACACACTCTTTTACAAACACATTCCCCAAATTATAGACCTTGTGTCACACTGACGCTTCATCACATGCACTCCACACACCTGTTACTTAAACAAGCGCACGCACAGGTCCTCACGCGCGATTTCATTTGATGGTGTGTCAAGGAAGCAATGACTACAATGACAGCAGTTTAAAAAGAAACAACAGGAAGTCATTCAAACGATTCAAACTCATTTAATCCCTTAATGTTTACAGCTGGCATGTCCAGACATCTGCCACTCAATCTTCCATTCATTTATTTAATTTCCAGCCAAGACAGAAATGAAGTACAAGTAATTCATTTTTCAAGAGATATTTCTGAGGACATCAGATGTAAGACAATCCACTTGCATAAGGAAAGGGAAAGTCAAATGAAAAAAAGAATGCGTTTCCAAGACTGGAGTTTAAAAAGTGATTAAAAGATACAAAGAAATAGGACTCCTAACAACCATGCAAGACCTGATAGACCACCAAAACTGTCACCATCTGATAAACAGTATTTAAAGCTTTTGTCTTTAAGAGATCAGCAACTCAGCATTATGGGTTTGAAAGGACGGGTAGCTGTCAAGACAAATCCATTAATGAGAAAGGAAAAAACCCACACACAAAAAAATAAAAATCAAACAAAGAAGCTGCTAGTGTTCTCAGAACAATGGAACCAACCACCCCAGTGTCTAGATCTCAACATCACTGAATATGTTTGGGAATACTTGGATCATGAAAAGCAACCAACTTCTAAGAATGAAACTTGGAGGTGTGAAAAAATATCAAGCAAGTCTCCCGAAAAAAATGGAAGCTGTAATAAAAAAACAGTGTGGACACAATAAATATCGAAAAAAATGTATTATTTGCATATGTTGAGAATTCGGTGTAGTTTTCTGTTGTTTTCTGTTTCCTGACACTGAAAAGTTAAGTTACATAATGTGATGGCTCTACATTTACATTACATTACATTCTAAGCCATTTTATTAAATAACTATATGGACTACTATGCAATCTGCCTGGGTTATTCTGGATTACAAAAGTGAGTACTTAAATTCTGGATCCACTGGCAGGTCCTGACCATTTAAAGGTCTAACATTTCCACACAGTCACATCCTAACAATGCATTTACAGTGGTTCAACAACAGATATGAATGCATTCTTCCCTGTCAGTTGGTTGCATATGGGTGTAACAAGGGTGTTCCCTACCAAATCCAATGGTAATTAAGTCTGGCTGAACCACAATTATGTAATGTAATTATTAGGAGTCAAGGTGCAGGTTGAAATGGTGAGCAGAGAAAGATCCATAAATGAAACAAAGGCAATGTAAAACCACACAAGAAGGAATAAACCTGACAGAACTACCTGGACAAAAACTGATGCAATGCAAAGGACAGAGGAGGACAAAGACAAAACAATGGCTACATAAGCACAGACACCTAACAAGACACAGGGTGATGATTACAGGGAGGGGTTTCAGTGTACACAGGTTGACATAGATGATATGGGGCAGAGTCAAGGAAACAAGGACACAAGAACGGCGAGGCAGAAAACAGCAGGACCTGGTTCATGACAAATTTACGCGTTCATTTTTTGAATAATCAAAATATCAGCGTACTACACATCAAGCGTTGTTGTCAAGACCACTTGAGGTAAGTCCGAGTCAAGAACAAGTTCTGGACACATTAAGTCTGAGTCAAGAACAAGACTATGAGTCAAGACTGAGACCAGGAGAGTACGAGTCAAGACCGAGACCAGATTAAGAAAAGAAGAAAGGTGGAAAAATTGGAAACTAATTTGTAGATAACTGTACATTCATCATCATTCATCATACCTGACATATGTAATTAATAATTGTTTAAAATGTATTTTTTAAAGTATTAAATAATATGTAGCCTAAAAATATTATTAATAATTATTCTATTATAATTTTAGTCCAACTT